AGGTGGCCGTCTGTCCCTGACTGCTGGGCCCTCACTAACCCTAGCCAGTCTCAGCCCGGCTGCCCCGCTCGGGACCCCGCTCTGGCAGAGGTGAGCGCCCGAGCCCAGCGCAGGGACAACTGAGAGCCGGGCAGCCCGGAACCCGCCACACTCCCGCCCCGTCCTTGGGCAGACAGATCTGCTGCCCTCGCGTGGCAGCTGCGAACCAGCCAGGGCCCGGATGGGAGGCACAGGGTCCACGGAGGGAGGGGGCGCTCCTGAGCCAGCCTGAAGGGTCAAAGAGCCTGAGATTTAAAGGACGGGATGGGGCACGGGTGCGGGGGGACTTGGAAGGAGGCTTTGGAACCAAGGGTGAACAGCCTCCTCTGCGGGGTCCGGGGGCCGGCAAAGACCACGCAGGTAAAGAGCCCTCTGCCCCTTCCCTGGCACCTCACACACGCCCCGAAGAGCTGTGATTCACGCGCCCCACCCCAGTCCCTGCTCCGGAGCAGGCTGACAAGCTCTGATGGGGACATGGCAGAGTTTTAGGTCCCCCTCCTTCCTCAGCCGTCCTGACCTTGGGTAAGGACTCCACTTGTCTAGCTATCAAGTGAGGACAAAATATTGAGTTGCACAAAATCACCCGCCTCATTTTAAAGAGCTATAAATAATTAAACATATAATTGATGTCAATTTGTAGTACTAGCGATTGAACTCAGGAGCACTGAGCTGTATCCTCAGCCCTTTTTTTAAATTTTATTTTGAGACAGCGTTTCTTGCCTCCAGCCTGGGTACAAATTTTCCATCCCCCTTCCTCAGGCTGCCCAGTAGCTGGGATTATAGGTGTGTACCACCTCGCTCTGCTATACTAGGTATTTTTTGTTTTGGTAGCCGGGATCAAACTGGGGTCCTTGAGCTTGCAAGGCAGGCACAGAACCCTGAACTAAATCCCTGGCCCTTTATTATGCATTTTAAAAACTGCATTTTATAGATTATATGGGGACCCAAGAAACAAGACTTCAAAGTCAGGTGAGGCTTCAGCCTGAGTTCTAGAAAAATGTAACTGGGGGGAAAAAAACCCAAGATACATCATGTACAAGATCCCAATAAAATGAACCAATAAACTTAATGAAAAAAAATGTAACTGACAAGAATTCCCAGGAATGCAGAGCATGGTGGTGCACGCCTGTAATCCCAGTATTCTGGAGGCTAAGGCAGGAGGGTCGCTGTGAGTTCAAGGCCAGCCTGGGGAAAATAGTGAGTTCAGAGCGAGCCTGAACTACAGTGAGCTCCTGCCTAAAAAAAAAAAAAAAA